TATTTTAATTTTGCTCTTTTAATATTTTTAGTTCCTATAACTTTATTCTATTAGCACTGTTAGCTCCTATATAAAGGTTAGGGATGCTAAGAGTTAATTGAGAAAGAGAAAAACATATCTGCCAAATAAAAAATTGAGAGAAAGTATAGGTAAATATTTTTTTAATCCCTTCATAAATTTTTCACCAGTAGATTTTAATTGGATTTGGAATGTCATCCGCCTCTTTTACCGCCCCTTAATTTTTCCCTATTTTCTCAATGTTTTTTGTTTTTTTTATTAGATTAATAGATTTTACATAAAATCAGTGACATTTTAATTTTTTTTTATGGATAAAAATGGTGCAACTTTTGATTTTTATGATTTTTCAAAGAATTTGTATTTAAGTTAAAAAGAAACTATGCCAAATTTGAGTAATTTTTCTTTAAAAAAATATTTAAAAAATTAAAAACTGCACTATTTTTGGTTCATTAGATATTCAAATGTCACTCATTTTAAGTATAATTTAATAATGAAAAGAAACAAGAAAAAAACATATAGGAAGTGCGAAAAAATTAAGGAGCATTAGAGGAGGCAGCTGAGAAGGTATAGCTGACACCCCAATCCATTTTAATTACTAGTAGCATTTTGGTCCTATTTATATAGTATTTTTAGCATATTTCATATAAACTAAGAAAAATAAGCAAATGCATGTGACGCAGAGAAATGGGATTAGTAATACCTGAATCGTCATGGCTTTCTTTGTAACAACCCGTATGAAATTAACAAGGTTAAATCAAGCTTATGACTTCCTGTTTTAAACGCGGAGACAAGAGATTGAGGAGAAAATCAAACGAGGAATAGATGAGAAGAATAGGGTTGGTGAGAAATGGAAACAAATCATAAAATGCATGAAACAAAGTGGTTTCGAATTGGAATAAAAAATGAGGAAGAAGAATATTGTATCACCATTATTAGGGGCTTTCAGTTTTTGCATGTTCATCCCTCTTACCCATTGCTTCCTAATCCTTCTCTCTGCACAAAGACCGTAGCAGAGAATGTGAGTTGTGTATATGGGATTTGTCAATGGAATCCCAATTTATAGAGAGAAGTGAGAGAAGGGAAAAGAAAATAAAATTTTGTGAGTGGTGGTGGTGGTGATCAAGTCGGTAAGAAACATTAAAAAAAAAGTTAATATAATCTTTGGTGCTTCAAATTTTTTCTTATTTTGGTTTTGATTTCTTAAGTTTCAAATCTTAAATTTTGGTGCCTCAATGGCATAGAATAAAAAACTAAACCAAACTGACTGGTTTAATAAGAAAACCAAGAATTGAACCAATCAAAGTTTTGGTTCCTCAGTGATTCGGTTTGGTTTAGGCATTAAACCAGTCAAGAATTGAATCGGTATCAAATCATTCAAACTTGTGTGAACTGGTTGGAATGATTATGTTGTTATTGGTCATATTTTTTCTCATTTAGCTCTTAATATCTCAAACACTATAGATTTGAATGAATTTTAGTGATGATTTTGATATCAATAATTATTAATTTTAGTTATTGATGAATTGTAAAGATCAAAATTTAATGTTATTATACTTTGTTATTGTTACAATCAAACTATTGTTATATTTTCTTGTATTTTTTATTAATGATTATTAATGTTATTATATTTTGTTATTTTTAATTAAATTATTTTATTTTAATATGATCGGTTTGATTCCAAGTTAATTCTAGTTCAATCAATTGACCCTTGAACTACTATTTCAACCAGTTTAGTGTCTGGTCCGATTTTTTATTCCTTACTTGATGGACAAAATAATCTAATTTTTTATTAGATTATAAGGACTAATATTATAAATAAAAAGAAACTTGAGAGACCAAAATTCAAATAAAGACAAAATTAAGGAATTAAAATTTGTCTTTACCCTTAAAAAAATGCAAACACAAAGCGCATTTAGAGTTAGCACAAGGGTTGATGGAAATTGATAATTGGGATTCATTTGGATGAAAATGATGTTATTTTTATTTAAATGACAAGTGAATACTATATACTCAAAAGAGGTTACAAAAGGACATCAATAAAACAAAAAACTTCATCACCTGTCCGCCTAAAAAAGATGCAGGGTGATAAGCAATGTTTTAAAAGCCGGACCGGAAGTCGAACCGGAAAGATCAACGGGTCATGGTTCAATCGGTCGGACTGGTCGAACCGTTTGGTCGGACCGGTGATGCAATAATTAATTTAAAACAATATTATATACATATAATTAATATATATGAAAAAATTAAATTATTAAATAATTTAGAAATGTATTTAAATGATCCAAAAGTATAATAAAATCATTGAAAATGACTAAAACCTTATATATATTTAAATTTATGTATGTTTAAAATATTTAATAATATTAAAAATTATTAATTTATTCAAATAAAAAATTATTTTAAAAGATAGAGCAGACATCAAAATAAAAAGACTAGTGATTCACGATTTTAATATCACAATATGTGAAATTTTCAATAAGATAATACTATATGGTTATAAATAGTCTAAAAATATGTTAGGATATTGGAGGGGGTCAATTTTTTTTTATTTTTTAGTATTTTTTTCGTCAGGCTAAAAAACCGTCCGGTTTTCTGAAAACCGTTCCGGTTCCCGGTCTAACTCCGGTTTCCGGCTTAATGGCGGCTCAACTCCGGTCCAATCCGGTTCAACTACATAAACGGTTTTTCGGTCCAAACCGAGCCGTTAACGGGTCCAGCTGACGGTTCAACCGGTCCGGTCCGGTTTTTAAATCATTGGTGATAAGGACATGAAAATAATATTATTGTATTGATATATCTATATATATATTTATATATTCATCCGCTTCTATTTCTAATTACTTTTAGTGTGTTTTGTCATAGTCAAGAAAAATTTTAAATTTTATTAATTATGTCTTAAAAATTTACAACTTTCAATTTAAGTTATCCCTATTATACTACACCCCATGAGAGTAATGTCTTCATAATAATAAATAAAAAATAAAATTATACATTTACATGAAAAATTGAAAAGGTTAGATATTACATTTCTCACCTTTAAATAATTTTTATTTTCCAAATTTAAAATATATAATAAATAAAAAATAAAATTGTATATTTGTATGAAAAATTGAAAAGATTAGATATTACATTTCTCACCCTTAAATAAATTTCATTTTCCAAATTTAAAATGTATGGTATAAGACAATGTCATATTTATGGTTACGATGCTGTGAAGACCCTAAGTCCTTCCCTCTGTATTGTGTTCTGATTTCATATTATCTTTTAAAAAATTATACTTACTCATAAGTTCAACCCGTCAAACAAACAAAAAAATGGCAGGTTAGAATTAATTAAAAACCAACCTATTAGTAAAAAAATCTTTTTTAACCTACACTGCTAGACCTACAATCCATTGCAGGTTAGCCCGTCAACCCATGTACTAACATGCTTTTTTTCCCAATTTTATTAATTATTATAATTATATTATTATTTTTATATCCTATCCAAAACTTAGGAAAAAACCTATATTATTTATTTTGTGCTTTTGAGTGAGTATTTGAAGGAAGAACAAAAATTTCATTATTTTTTTTATATTGTATAAAAATATTAAAAATATTTTTTAAAAAAATAAATAATCGTTAACAGGTTGACAAACTAATTCATCAACCCACAAAATGATGGGTTGGAATTGGTTAAAAACCAACCTGTTATCACACGAGCCTTTTTAACCTGTATTGTTTAATCTTAACTTATCACATGCCAACCCATAGTTTATAAGTTGGCTCATATTATCACCTATATATACTTGTGTGTAAATTTTTTTTTTTCCAAACGGAGTTCTTTTACTCTTCAAAAAATTTAGTTTAGTAAACGCTGGCGAAATTAAAAAAAAAAAAATTTAGGAACCATTGACCCGCTTTGATATAATTTCGTCAGATCCTATTGTACAAAATTTCACATGACCTCTAGCAGGCACTGGGTTTGATTGATTCAACGGTCCTTTACCCTTGGAATTGAGCTTCTTGTTTTTGATGGACTAACTAACGCAACAACTCAAATTTCAAGACTGTATTTGGGATGGCATTTCAGCCATCTCAACATAGCTTTTCCGGTGGTTAAACACGTCAGGCTTGTCGCTACTTGTTTGGTATGGCGTCTATGCAAATGAACTTTTGCCTCCATGGTATGTTAACAGTGAAGTCATTTTATTCTGCGGGAGAGAGAGAAGAGCACACAGGAGTAAGAAAGACAGAATGGGACCCACCTTGCTCTATGAAAAAGAAAAGACAAAATTTCTCTAAAACAACCGCCAATAACTTGATATTTACAGGAGTATCATAAGAAGACAAAAATAAAATGAAAATAATATCCATATGTACAAAAATCAGATTAGATATATTTAATTAAGTGATTTGTTCAGTATTTATATTTTTTCTAATAATACATTAGCTATTTATTTTTATATTTTTAATTTTAATATTTCTCTTAATTTATCAAAAGGTTAATATATTTTTTGGTTCCTAAAATTTGAAACTAAGATTTAGTTCATTTTTTTAGTCTCTCAAATTTCAAATATATAACTATAAAATCATGGGTTTAAAACTTAAAGAACTAAAATTAAAATAAACCTAAATTTTAAGAATTAAAAATTATATTAACCTGTTATCACATTATATATATTTAATAAAATTCATGTCTTTTTTTAGTTATTTTATATCTAAAAATGTTTTCCAATTATATCTTCAAAGCAAGTTTTCTCTCCACTAATCTTTTCATAAAAGCCTACCCAAATAACCCCCCTACATTATTTGACTTTCTAAAAGTTAAATAAAGTAAAAGTCATCTCTACCCCTATTAATCTAAATACAACGATCTAGTTCAGTCCCCGATCACATGACAAGCCATGGATGGAAAATCATGCCTTTGGCAATTGGCACAGGAGAAAATGGCAAAATGCCACCAGCGCGCCACGACATAAAACGTTACTAACGACGCCGTTTAGAACCGCACACGGTCTCCGCCTGGCTTCAAGCCTTCAAGTTTCAACTCGCCTGTTCTGCGGTTGAAGTAGATAGCTCGACGCAACTCACCCTGTACGACGTTTCTGTCTCTCAGATTATAGGAACCGTAAGGAAACCAGGCTGTCCAATCAACTTAGCTGCTACGTTAGATCTCTCTCTATCGGATAATTTTGTCCGCAATTTCTGAGCACCAAAAAAAGGCATCTTTCACTTCCACTTTATTTTTATTTTTTTAAATATTTCAGTTCCTGGATCTGGGTTTACTAAATTAAACTACTTGATTTGAATAATGACCCCTTCTTTTTTGTTTGGTTCTGTTTTTGGGTTTCGTCTCTCGATTTGTGCAGATGAGATCATCAGGCTGGGGCTCCTTGAGGCAATTTTGGGTGTTTATGTTGATTGGAATACTATACAACTTGAAAGGGTCAGAAGGGATTAGATTTGTGATAGAGAAAGAGGAATGCTTCTCCCACGATGTTAAATACGAGGGTGATACTGTCCATGTTTCTTTCGTTGTCATTAAGGCTGACTCTCCCTGGCATTATTCAAATGAAGGTGTCGATCTCGTGGTATGTACATTTTCTGAAAAATTCTTTTCTACCCAAATCTTTGGTGATTCTTGAGCGAAATGGTTCACTAGGTAATGAGTTCATGGATTGTGGTTTACTCTTGATTTATATGGATTCTTGTCTAAAAACCATTGATGGTCACACATTTTGCAACTTATTTTCCATTTAGACTTGCTTTAATTTTATGATAATCTTCATACCTGTAGAAGTTTTAATTTTTCCGCTAATGCATACATATTGGAGAAGCCTTTATGAGTTTCTTCAGAAGAAGTTCGTGACCAGGAATTTGTGATTTTTCTAAGATATTGTGAAACTCTAATCAGATCTTGGAATTATTAACTTTTTCACTATTTTTGTTCTAGCTAGAGGACATCAAAGTACCAATGTGTCTGACTTAGAAAGCTAATGAGATGATTTGTTTTTGCTGTGAATTTATCTTTCTTGTCCTTTGTATCTTGCCATGCTACTTTCGAATATCATTCCTCCATCTGTTATTTCAGGTGAAGGGACCTTCAGGTGAGCAAGTTCAAGATTTCCGTGATAAGACCAGTGAAAAGTTTGAGTTTGTGGCGCACAAGTCAGGGGTTCATAAATTCTGCTTCAATAACAAGTCCCCTTATCATGAGACGATTGACTTTGATGTACACGTTGGTCACTTCTCTTATTTTGAGCAACATGCAAAAGATGGTAGAGTACCTATGCCATTACGCCCTCTTGTTTTTGCTTTTTATAGTTACCTTCTCTTGTTTCGTGAAATGCCTAGAATTTGAGATAAACTATGATGGACACTATTAGGTAACTATTCTGGGTAATTTTTAACCAGTCTGTGCTGTAGATAAGGTAGATTTTAGGCAGTTACATGACTTTTTGGGACAGATTTGGGTAGTTCCGAGGAAGTTATGTAGCTGTTTTTGACAGCAGAAATGTTGTAGCAGTTTGGGACTGTTGTGGGGTGGTTTGTGGTTTAGATCTGAAGAAAGCATGGACGGAAACATTCCTGTGGTGTGTTTTATTGGAGATTCATCTCGTCTAGGATAACTAGTGGAATTTTTTTTTTTTTTTTTTTAAATTCTTGTTTCTGTTTGTTAGTATTGCTTTGCATACTTTATATAATTGTGCAGTTTTCTGCTCTAGTTTTCATCACTCATCATGACAGTTATTCTGCAGAGCATTTCAATCCTTTGCTGGAACAGATAGCTAAGTTGGAGGAAGCTCTTTACAATATCCAGTTTGAACAGCATTGGTTGGAGGCTCAGACTGACCGCCAAGCTATAGGTACTTTTTGAAAAACATCTTCTTGTTTTTATTTATTATTTATTTATTTATTTTTAAAACCTTTAGCAACTACATTCTTTTGTACATAAAAACTAAGCGCCACAGTATATTGACTCTATAGTTGCAAGTGCTATCTAGTGTATATATGTATTTGGTTTTTTTCCTTCTAAATGCATTTTCTAGTTTCTTAACTGCATTGTTAAATATGGTACTTTCAGTTTCTGAATCTTCTCTGGGTTTATGGCCTAAGTTTTCTGATTATGATTTCTTTAAGTTTTGGAATCATAGTGGGCTACATCTTCAATTCTAAGTACTTTGCAGTGTTGCTCTGTACGCTTGGATACTCTTTTGGATACAGATGTAGATCACAAAAGGAAGCGGAGAAGGGGAAGGAGAAAGAGGGAGAAATAGAAAAAACAGAGAAACAGAAGAAGAGTGATAGAGAAAAAAGGGTAAAGAGAGAAATGGTGTGTTGAAAGAGAGAATGGCAGAAAACAATTATTCTACGTTTCAAATCATCAGCTCTGACAAAAGAAAAATAACCTAGGTCTATTGCTAGTCCAGAACACAATAGCATAAAGTGGGAAAAAAAAGTTGAACAAGTGAGGAAACTCATCCTTAGTGGTTCAAGTCTCTAAATTTCTCATTATTTGCCTCCTGATTGGAAGAACTTTCCCTTGGAGAGGAAGACTGCTAATAAGACAGGATTTATGTGAGGAAACTAAACTCCTCCTTTGTCGTTCAAGTGGCATCCAAATTTGAGCAAATTTTCTAACAAGACCATGGTTTTTTTTTTTTTTTTTGGTTTTTTGGTTCGGTCGGGGGGATCAGGAGGGAGAACAATATGATCGCCATAACCGTATCAATTTCATCAATAGGTGGTGGAGCCCGTTTTGATACCAAAATTGTCGTTGAACCCCAAATGAAGAAGGGGCAGGGGACGGAGAAAGAGGGAATAATATGCAGATAAAGGTCAAAAGTAATAAGAGCAAGGGAGAAATAGGGATACAGAGAGAAAATGGAAGTTGAGAAAGTGGATGTTAAAAAATATCTAAACACTCAGGCAACGGTATTATGCTTCCCTTAACTGTCGAGAGGTTCAAGTCACCTCCAGTCTAATGTGTCTATCTTTTCTTTCATGGCCACAAAACTCTCGGTGACATATCAGCTCACAGTATTGTGGGTTTTGAGCCTACTCTTAGTCTTCTTTCCATTACCATCAGATTTGTTCTCAGCATTGGGCCTACTCCTTTGATACATTCGACAGACTAAAATTTGAAATTCATAAACAATGATTCTGAATTTCATATGAATGCATTTTTCATACATGATTAACCTCAGACCCGATATGTAAAAGCCTTTAATCAAGATTCACTATCTCATAGGATATCTCCATCATGGCTGAGGCTGCCCCAACAAAAGTCCATGTGAAATGTTTTTGGAAAACCAAACTAATATTGTTTGTATTGTTTTAATTGTAATACATAATCCATGTAACTGTCACATCCCAGTTTAATTTGCCAAAATTTAATTCACATGCCTTGTTCCTTTATTTTCTTGTCCTTCAAGTTGATTTAAGTTGGAACAATCAAAGTCATTTTGTCCCCTATTTCTCGGCTATCTACACAAGACAGTTCAATTAATTAAACCGTAAATTTCTTTCAATGTGGGCCCTGCATTATTTTTACAAATTAGACCTCTTGCTTCTTTTCCTTAAATCCTTGGCCCTTCTCTTTTCATTTTAGGGAACTTTTGATCTTTCCACATCACTTTCTATGTCATCAAGCATGTGAATAATGTTACGTGCAATTATATATGCATACATGCGCATAGATATTAATTTCAAGGATTTGACAAAACAAATCTGGAAATAGGAAACTAATTAATTTGACCTGAAAGTAAGTTCTAGCCATTTGACACCCATTTGGGCACTTCGAAATTGCACTTCAATTACCTGACACATTGTCTAACTACCTTGGTCTCTTTAGGCATTACTTTGTGCTTGAACAAGCAGGACTACGGCTTCATCGACCTTCTCCATGTGAGTTTTAGGGTCATCAGTCTTTGATGAATAGTGGTAGAGAAGAGGAGGAAAGAAAATAGCCGCCCCCTCCCCAAATTTTTTTTGTCCTTTCTTTTTTTTGCTTAAAGAAAAATTGTGAATAGGTACTTTGTGAGTTTTAGGGTCATCAGTCCTTTCTTTTTTTTTTGGTAAAGAAGAGGACAAGAAAGATTGTGAATAGGTACTCCGAATGTTGCTTAAGAAAGCATAATATCTAATTACAATTCATTCTTCTTATATAGGCTTCTAACTCCTAGCTTCTAACAGCTACTTTTATTATAACTAACACCTACCCGTCGTGTGCATATTACAATTTATACATCAATAATCGCCGGGGTGGAAGAACCCTTGACCTTTGCAATAATGAAAGAGGAATGCTGTTTCTGCGGGTGAAATAGGGAAATCCAGCCTGCCAGTCCATCCGGAAGGTCCTTCCACTGCACTAACACCTCAGTTGTGATCCTACCCCCTTTCCTTCCCATTCTCCTGTTCAAAATCTTGTCTGGTGCTAAGTTTGGAGGTGGACCAGGCCAATCAAGTGTCGGATGATGCCGTTTCACTGAGGGAGAGGGAAATGTGGAGGCTAGGATGAATTCTTGACTCTGATGGTAGTTCCAATTTATAAGAAACTGGATCAACCCTTTAGATGATTCTATTAAGCCCAGAATATCTTGGTGCCAATTTTTCAGAGCTTCTAGAGGCTGCAGAAATTTGTTGGTAAGGTTGTAGCTTAAGAAAAACCCATTGGCCCGCCTCAAGCTCTATCCGTTTGGTGCAGACCTACTTTTTGTTTCATTCTCTTTACAGCCCTGTTTAAATGATGTTCGGCTATAGCTAGAGCTTCTTCCCTTGCAGATAAGCTAGGCATAGATGGGAGTAGTACAAGATCTGCATTCTCTAGCTTAGGAGTAACCCAAGGTCTGGCCTTAGACTAGATCCTCATGCTAAGCCTTTTGAGGAGCTTGGCTCAATAAATCTTATTTACTGAACTCTGCTGCTTGTATTCTCTTCCCAGATAGATGAATACTGAAAGGTTCTTTGTGGTGTTCTCCCTATGGATGTGGCCCATTTTTTATTATGAGTGTTGTGGCTATATGACTTGTGATTTATGATTGTATTACGTGTTCTTATCACTCGAAATGCAGTGAACGAAGCCATGAGCCGAAGAGCAGTGCACAAGGCAATCTTTGAATCCGCCGCGCTGGTCGGAGCTAGCGCGCTTCAAGTGTACCTTCTGCAGCGGTTGTTTGAACGGAGGATGGGAACATCAAGAGTTTAAAGCCGCTAAAGTGCTTTGGGACCTTGTAATATTACAGAATGAGAACATAATAGTACCTTTTTTAAAAAAATTTATTTCTTGACTTTTGGATGAGCTGGATTATTAATTTACTTGTAATTTTACTCAACACTGTAGTAACATTTGTAATTTTATTCAAAAGTTACAAATCTTGCTATGCTGTCCCGAGTTTGAAGCTTTGGTGTTAACTTTCGTTGAGTGGGTCCCTTTGAATTAGTGATTAGAACAATAGTTTCTTGTCAATCTGATTTTTAAAAAAATGAGATTGGGTAAAAGTCAAATTGGGTGATATGAACTATGTTTGAACTGGAGTTTATAAAATTTAATTTGTGAAAGTTAGATTGGGTAAAAAATTATTTGGATTATGATTGAATTAGTAATTTTAGCTTGTAAAATTACTAAAATGAGTAAGACTTTATTAAATAATAAAAATAAAAAAATTATCAATTTACGTAATATAATAATTTTAGATTATTTATAAGCTCTTGTTGATATCATATATTTTCTTTTATTTTTTATCATTTATTATAAAAGCATATTTGAAAACAAAAATATATTTTTAACTTATTACTTTTAATTGATTTTTTGTTGTCTACAAATTAGTTATTTAAAGCTTATAATAAGAATCAGGAGAGGTAGTAAATTTCTTAGCTTTCTCTCTCTCTCTCTCTCTCTATTTCAAAAGTCATAAGTTATAAGCCATAAGCCATACGTAACTAATGTTTACTTATAGTTTATTGTAACTTTTTATGCAAAAGTCAGATTGCTCTATTGTTAATCCAAACATCACAACTTTTTCAAACGTCCTTCTACTTAAAAAAGAAAAAAAGTAACTTATTGCCCTCCAAACTCTGAGCCAAACAGGCTCACAACATTTTTGCTTTTGGGTACCAATTAAAAGCTTTTTTTCACACATCGAAATACACTCATCCAAATACGTACTTCATATATTATAATATTATTTTCAAAATTATAGTTTTGATTATATCCAAACATTCCTTGAGACTAAAAACTTATTAGGAGTTTGGCATGCTATAAATTACTAAATTGCCTTTTCCCTTGTACACAAAAAAAAAAAACTAAATTCCATGTTATAAGCTTTAGTTTTAAGTATGCAGACCATGCTTTGAACTATATATTTAAAAATACATAGAAAAGAAATGAACTTTATTTGCAACGGTTGCTTGTTTTCAATCAAAACAAGATATGTGGATTTTTTTATATATTATTTATTCTATAACAAATTGTTATTATTAATATTATTAACATCTTAAAATCCACTTGTTTTGATTTATTTGGACAAAAATATATTAAGTATATAAAACTAACTACTAAAATCTTCTCCCTTGAATGATTGTCACATTTTTTGGGAAAAGGTAATGAGGTGGGAATGACAAGTCACGCCAATGTTGTGAAGGAATTTTAGAAGAAACAGACCGTTTGGTTATTAGAAAAAGATAGGAATGAAATGGAATGAGACATAATATTTTCTCTCATATATAAGAACTAAATAACTAATTTATATATATTAAAAATATTAGTTAAGTTAGTTATATGTGATGAATGTGTAATGGTTTTTTTAAAATATCCTGTTTAGTTATTAACCACTTTTTGATAGAAATTCTCTTATTATGTGCCTTCAAGAGGGATATTTTAAGAGGAAAAATATAAATTTGACAAACAAAATCAATTGAGATATTATATTTAAAATCAAAATGAATCTTTTATTTAGTTTTTACATTTAGGATCTGAGATAGTAATATAGACTAAAATAAAAGTGGTCGTACATTAATTTTTGACAGAGGAGGGCAATGAAGTAATAGAGAGGCGGGAATAAAGATTGGTAAGTACAAGGTCATGAATTTAGATTCTCATTTTTTAAGGAACAATGATTGCGGTGAGAGGAACTATTAACCAAACATGATTACATAGAAATAAAATTTAAAAAATATGTTTGTATACAAATATTAAATATAAAATGATTACTATTGAAAAGGTCTTTTCGTAGATATCCCAAAGAGTTGAAGCAAGTGAAACCCAATGAAAATCACTATGGAAAAGGTTTTTTTCCTCCCCAAGAAATTTAAATTTGTGTTTGGATACTACTCCCTCCGTTTCAAAAGACCAAAAAATTGCAACCCATTTTTTCAAAAGAAAAAAATAAATAAAATGAGTTATTTATTGGGAAAATACCAATAAAATAACATTTGAAATTTGAAATTCCAGAAACTCATCCCAATAAACAAAATTCTAAATTGGCCACTTGTATCAAAATGGGATTTTGAAATGATGCTACTTTTACAATTGTGCCCTGTGCTTTATGACAAACAAAAACAGCACTTAAGCCACCTTCAGCCAACAAGCCGGCAATTTGTAAATTTGGGCTCTTGAGCATTATAGTGGCCCTCTTTAGATTTTTGGGGTTTACATTTTGATTTGAAGAATCTTGCTCTTTTATGATACTCTGTCTGATTCTAAACGTAAAAATTAAATAATTAATTTACTGAGATTAATAAAATTAATTAGGTTAATTATTTATAAAATTTGAATGCTAGTTTCTCTTAGATACCTTATTTAATCATTTGTACTAGATTTGTACTAGAAACTACTTCATAACGAGAAAACCTCTCACAAGTGCAGCTTAAATCAATAGGGTTAGCTAAGATAAAAATTATAACTTTATGAAAAAAAATGAATTGAGATATTATAAAATTAAAATAAATCTCAGAACAAGTTTATATATTTAGGATCCCAAAGGACAATTTCCACACCCTCTCTCTAATACATGCCAAGTGTTGAGAAGATATTAGTTTGACAATTGGCTTGCTTTGTGTGAGTTAATTCATGGGTTAGTTTAGAGCTTTTGGACTAACAAAAAAGTTTGCATTTTTATTATAATGAATCTCCCCATATATTGGAGCTAGCGATCATACAAACACAAAGAGAGAGAGATCCATCATTATACGACCGAGGTTATGACAACATATGGGTTATTTGTACGTAGTTGACCATGTCGCTGCTATTGCATTATATTACAGGTGACATTTTATTTTCGTTTCATACACTTGTAGTTTCAATTATAGTTATGGTTAATACCCATTGTCACTGCCCCCCACACTGCCACTTCCTCCTTTGCCGCCGCTGCCACCATGGCCACCTCCCCCACTACTCCCACCATTCCCTTCTCCGCCGCCACCACCGCTTCCTCCTTTCCCACCACCGCCATAATTGCCTCCACCACTCCCTCCCTTACCGCCACCACCACTTCCTCCCTTTCCACCACCACCATGGCTGCCTCCTCCACTTCCTCCTTTCCCTCCACCACCATGACTGCCACCGCCTCCACTACCTCTTTTGCCGCCGCCACCACCACCACCACTTCCTCCTTTTCCTCCACCACCATAGCTGCCACCGCCTCCACCGCCTCCTTTCCCACCACCACCGCTACTTCCTCCACCACTTCCTCCTTTTCCTCCACCGCCTTGGCTACCACCACCTCCACTACCTCCTTTCCCACCACCACCACTACTTCCTCCTTTTCCTCCGCCACCATAGCTGCCACCGCCTCCACTACCTCCTTTCCCACCACCCCCGCTACTTCCTCCACCACTTCCTCCTTTTCCTCCACCACCGTGGTTACCACCACCTCCACTACCTCCTTTCCCACCACCACCACCACTTCCTCCTTTTCCTCCGCCACCGTAGCTTCCACCGCCTCCACTACCTCCTTTGCCGCCGCCACCACTACTTCCTCCTTTTCCTCCACCACCATGGCTGCCACCACCTCCACTACCTCCTTTCCCACCACCACTTCCTCCTTTTCCTCCACCACCATAGCTACCTCCACTTCCACTACTACCATCACCGTAACTATCACCGCCTCTACCTCCAACTACCCCATAGTTGCTATCACCATCTCCACTTCCTTCTTTTATGCCACCACCATAACCAATACCAGTTGCATTCGTATGTTCAGCAATTCTAGCTTTTGATTCTTCTGCTAGACTCACTGAAACCGGAAAAAACATGCAAATGAATATTTGTCCACAGGACACGTAGGACACGTTTTACTTTACTATGAGAACTTAATTTAAGGGAAATCAAGGAATATTTTGCACAGTTCTTCAAAGACTTGGATGTCTGCGCTTTACTTCATCATTTGCATTATTTCCTATTACTTCATATACCTCAAGAAAATAAAGGTACAAATTAGTTTAAAAAACGAAGAAAATAAAAGTACAAGCATTATAGTTTTTTGTTTTTTTGTTTCCTTATAAGCATTATAAGTTTGGACAACTATAATAAGTCCGATACCACTGTGAAACTTGCGATTCCAATCTAATTAATGTATGCCTAAATCAACATATATATGCAGTTACATAAATTATACATACATATATTTGAAATATCAGTATCAATATATTGGTACATATAATTTATAGAAAGCCACATCCATAAGTCATGACCAGCATGTGTGGCTTGCACATATTCTATGCAAAGCATGAGACTCACAATATTGTTATAGGAAACTACCTAAATACTTAGTTATATGTAAATACTTTCTAATTAATATGTAAATCTTACAAAATATGCAGCATTTTGAAGTCTTGAATTATTTGCAATTCATACTTACAATATATCACCCTAATTAGCTGTAAGCAGGAGTCATTTACGCAAAAAATTCAGAGTTTATTGTCTTGTTTTAATTGGAATATTTTATTTTGCACATAGTATTAAAAAAAAAAAAGCGCAATCCAGCGTGAATTTATAGACCATATAGAGGAAAAAAATATTCCTCATAAGAGAAAAACTTAAAAAAAGAACATGTGCAATTTAGCGTCAGTGTATTGACTAAAAAGCATATAAAACTTTAATCATTTTCCAAATTAGTTGGAGTAACACAACCACTAATATAGTCCTATAACTATCAAAAAACCATAATGGGAGTGAAAAGTTAGGGTTTTGGTTTAGGATTCAGACCTTGCAGCTCACCATTTGATGGCTCATGCCGTGCAGCTACCAAATTAGAAATGAGAAGAACATAAACCAGAAAGCAAAAGAGAATGAAGGCCTTGATGATCATTTTGGTCTTAACAGTCTTTAACCTTAGACTTAGATCGAGTGGGACATCATAAATTAAACGTGCATGCTCTCTACGAACCTAGTATGCATATATATAGTAATGCAAATCAGATTACCAGGCAAACAAATAAATAATATTGTAAAATGGGTGCAGATTACAAGGCTTTCGTTGAAGTCTACGTAGAAGGGTCATTTTCTACTCATTCGACACGCACCCCATTGAAGCATTGAAGAAAGACGTGTGTGCTGATTTGAGCCAAGTAGGCGGTTGAAATATGGACAACTGGCATGTAAATTTGGATAACATGCAAATATTCTTGAGCTGTGTTAAATGGAAGCCTACTTAACATCCCTATTTGATACTTCTCCAATTTTTAATATAGGATCTAATTGTTAAGTTAAAGTTGATCCTAAGTATAAGACCTATTTCTCCTATTTATTATTTTTTCTTAATTATCCCTATGAATAGTTCCTCAACCATAATCAAGTAAGTGAGGAAGGGATGATATTAAGAAACATAATTATGGTGTTTTAGGAAAAACATGTCATATTTTTTATAATTAACTAACTTACCTAACTTCTTTAATCTAATCAAATTAGTTAAATAGGTCTTATATTAAGGATTGGAGGAGTATATATTTTTTAAGAAAATAAAAATATACAAAAATACTAAATAAAGAATATAATAGTATATTTATATTAAAAATTTAATAATGGTACTTGTAAATAAAACTTAAAAAAGGTTCTTTTTCTTAACTTATTAATAGGATTAGAGGAATATCTACTACCTTTGGTCCTTATAGGATCTAGTTGAATAGTTTGAAGAGATTAAAAAAGTTAAAAAAATCACTTAATTATAATATATGTTACATGGCTTTTCTGAAATACTTATGTATTATTAGATTATATATCAGTTTATAAGTTAGGCAAATTAGTTTTTTAAAAAAATAAATATAAATATTTTAAAATAAACTTTTAGTTCCCTTAATCTTTATAAATTAATTAACTATGTTTTATAGTAGGCATTTAGGAAGCTTCCCAGTCAACAGAACTAAAAACATAGATAGTTTTTCATGTTATCCAAATTTGCATGCCATATCCAGTTGCCCTTATTTCAACTCCTGACTCAGCTCGAATCTACACACACGTCTTTCTTCAACGCTTTAACGTGGTGCGTGCCAAGGCAGGGAACAAGGACCTGTTATTTAGCCTCTTAAATAAATACTTGTAACTTGCACTTATTTTCATAACATGCACCAATTTTCTTTTTTTGGCGCTTGCTTTACTTTTCTATATTTTAAATATTAATTATATAGAGCACGTTCCATTGCCATCCTTATCTCATAGCCCAAAATTAAGGTTATGAGCTATGTGATTGTTCGAATAAAAATTCTCATTGCTGCTCAAGGAAGCCAAAAGAGGAGAAAGAGAAAAACAAAGATATTAAATACCAATATTCCCTAACTGGAGTTTTAATATACATGATTAAATAAGAATAATTTAAAAAATTAATACACATTTGTTTTAAATAACTAACTTAACTAATAAATACTCCTAGTTGGAGTGAACTAATTAGAACTTATTTGGCGTCATGTCATGAGTCAGTTGGGGAAAAAAGAAAAAACTAATGAGATGAATAAAGTGATCTTTGGCTTGACTTCGAGGGTAATTGATTTTTCGCGCCCAAAATTCAATTTTGCAAAAGTTAATTAAGATAAAAGTCATTTTTGCCAACATTAATCCAAATAGAATCCGAATCCTCTTAACGGCAGCACCCCCCAGTGTCGTAATATGGTCTATAAGGTTAATCTAAGAGCTCAAAATATGTCAAATCATCATGCTATCAAAAATTAAAAATAAATCTGACAGATGCTATAAAATTGCTAGGTACCTTTAAACTTTTTTTAAAAATTTTTTTAGAGTGAAACACCTAATTTCTTGGACCATCTTATTTTATTTTAACTGTAGAGTTTATTAGAAGTCCACATTGATATAAATTGAGTTAGACAGGATCACAAAGAGAGGCAAAGTTCTATCATAATCAAGCATTTTAATTAAAAATTGAAAAAAAACACTTGGTATAGTTTTGCCACTCTTTATAATCCTCTCTGACTCCATCAATATTAGGCTGAACTGAGATAAAATTTTCAGTTTAAGTTGGACAAGTCCAAAATATTATATATAAATACTCGGTGGTTAATTTTTTTTCCTTTATCTTTTATGGTTATCTGAATCAGTCTGCAGGAATATGAACCTGTCGTAAATCTTTTAGTTGAAATAAGGCAAATGAAACAAACTGAATACTCCATGCTAAAAAAAAAGATCTTAAAAAATAGTTCAAAGCTGGTAAAAAAAATTCACACTATGATTAAGATTTATTTCTAATTTTAATAGCACAATGATATGGCATACTGTAAGCTATTTGATTAATTTCAAGGGAAAATTTCAGTGAAGGACTGCACTAGACGATTTATTTCAAACAACCCTCAAAATATTCTAAAATATCACTGTAGGACCAAAGGAGCAAACTAAAATTAATTTGAAAAGAGAAAAGATATTGTCACCCCTCAAAACTATGATGCTGAAGCTCTTCCCTCTCTCTTTTAAAACTATCAATAACTCAAGCTTTTCTCTTTCTTACTCTCTGAAAAATTTGATGTTGTGTTGAGAGAGATCATTCACTGTCGTCGTTGTTATGGTCAGTAGAGCATTTCCTGTCACTGCTATTCTATAGAGTGCCTTCGTCGTCGGCCCTATTTTGGTAACAAGAGCCCCCACTGTCGCCATAGTCTCTCTCTCTCTCTCTCTCTCTGTATGCGATCTCTTTCATTGCCTTTCCATTCAAGAAATTCTACACATAATATTGTAAAATCCTGCTCCATTTCTTCTCAGATTTGAGATAAAATTATACAGTGGGTTGATTTTAGATTCACACCATTAAGTGTTGAGAGCAAGCCTTTCAATTGCAAATTCCACTTATCTAGAAAAATAGTGATTTGGTGTTGTAAAAACTCATTTTTGTTGTGAATTTGCAAATTCCTCTTGTAAACGTATACTATGTTTAATTATTAAAAATTGGTTAAAATTAATATTTGAATGATGTGCAACAACTTATTATACATGGCTGGTGGCGGTGGAATTAAATGTTTATGAGTTCATTGATTATTTTGAGTTTTTATTGGTACACATGTGCAAATGTATTGAAAGTTCATATCCTTGTGCCATAGAACAACACACTATACTAAAGTCTGAGTTGTTATGGTGGCTCATTACTCACAGAAAAAATACGAAGTTAGGCATTGTTGTGAAACTATTTCAATAGATAAAAACAAAACAAAAAAAGGCAATGACATAGCAATTGTTATATTTCTATCCGAGATGTAATTTAAGCTACTTTAGAATGTGTTCAAATTTGTGTATAGAGAATTTGTACAATTTTAGTTTCAGGGAATATATATTATGAGTATGTTTCACGTCAATTAATTCTAATTTTCTACTTATCCCCATTAGTTTATAAGTATATGATGTATTACTAACAAATGAAATTAGGGAATTTTCAGCAAGGATACGTTGTTTAATAACTTGATGTTTTGGAAATGTGGTTGTCATATTGATAACTAAAATTAGAAAATTTGCAAGAAAGATACATATAGTAACAATAAGAACATGTCCATTTGTAAGTAAATTAGTTGCATTAAAGAAGATGAATATGATAATTCACAAATGTAGGAGGAACTATTTACAAGTGGAATTGAGTAATTTGCAACATAGATATACCCATTAACAATAGAAATACATCTATTTGTAAGTGGATTTATTTCATTCATAAAGTTGAATAGAACAATTCACAAGTCTAGAAGCGACGGTTCACAAGTAGGATTAGAACAATTTACAACACAGATACACCCATTAACAATATAAATACGTCCATTTGCAAGTAAATTCATTTCATTAATAAATTAAATAGAACAATTCATAAATCTGAGAGTGACAGTTTAAAAGTAGAATTATGATATTTGCAACATCGATACACCTATTAACAATATAAATACATCTATTTGCAAGTGGATTAATTTGTTTTGCATTTATGTAGTTGCTAACAAATTTCAGTGCGGTACTTCATATATCATTTTGGTTTCTAAAGTCTTCACATATTCACCTCCCCTTATAGAAGATGCAAAATAAATGCTTTCCATTGTTGCTAGCCATATATAATAAGTTGCTGCACATCATTCAAGTATTAATTTCAATCAATTTTCAATAATTAGACACAATATAGGTTTACAAAAAGAATTTACAAATTCACAATAAAAATATGAGTTTTCACAACGCCAAATCATTATTTTTCTAGAGAAGTAAAATTTGCAAATTCACAATACAATTCATGAAAGAACTGAAAGGCTTACTCTAAATACTCAGCAGTGTGAATTTAAAATCAACCCACTGTATAATTTTATCTCAAATCTGAGTAGTAAAAAAATTTCTTACTAGCTCAAAACTTCACTATAGCCCAAACCGAACCTGTAAAATCTATAATAGAAGAAATGGAGAAGAATTTTGTAATATTATATGTAAATTTTTGAATGGAAAGGCAGTGAAAGAGGTCGCACACACAAAGAGAGAGAGAGAGAGAGACTATGGCAACAGCGGAGGCTTTTGTTACCAGAATAGTACCAACGATGAAGGTACTCCATACTAGAATAGTAGTGACAGTGAATGCTCTTCTTACCAAAACAACAACAACGGTGAATGATCTCTCTCGATGAAGAGTGAATTTTTCAGAGTGAGAGAGAGAGAGAGAGAAAGAAGCTTGAGTTATTTTCAGTTTTAAGAGAGAGAGGGAAGAGCTTCAGAGTTGAGGGGTAACAATGTCTTCTCTCATCTTAAATTAATTTCAGTTTGCTCCTTTGGTACTGCAGTGATATTTTAAAATGTTTTGGAGACTATTTGAAATAAATTGTCTACTGCGGTTCTTCACTAAAATTTTCCCTAATTTCTATG